TTTTGTTTCACGTAGATAGCTGCAAACAGCATTAAAGGCATTGCTGTAGCTGTAGCCCAGAACCGAAGCACCAATGTAGAGTATATTCTCAATGGGGAAGGGCAGCCCAAGGTTAGCAAATGGGATGGCTAGGAGACGTTTTCTTCATAGACTGTAATGGTGATAAGACAAAAGATAATGGTCTATTGATTGAGGACCGAAGCCTCTTCTTCTTTATTGACTGAGCCAGATCCCCACTACACAGGCCTAAGTGATGATGATGGGTATATATAGATGAGAAGATGAAGCGCATGAATAATGCTCACAGTATCAACATGGCCTTTTTTATTACGTTCAGTTAAATTATTTACGTCATTCCAGATCTTCCCTGGATTATCGTAGATTTTTTAAAAATGTGGATTGATAATAAAATACCCTGGCTCGCTTGATGTCACCATTAGGTCTATTGTAAAACTTTTTATAGTCTCTAAGAAGTGATACATCGCGAGATTTTACAAACGTGGGATACATTTTTTTTTTGCATTTGGTCATACAGTGAGTTTTTATTTCACGGCTTGCGTATCTTCTATTTCGATAGCTTTTTTGTTAGAGGGAGTGCGCAGTCATATATGCTCCTCAGTTGTTCAAGAAAAAGATTTAAAGCCCGGTTTGTATCCTTTTCTGCGCACACTATATTCTAATGTGTCGAAGCAACTACTGCTCAGAATCTGTTTAATGCATTATTGTTTATTTTGCGATACTGTTCAATGATCTGCTTTTTATTTTGTGTTTAGGATAATGATAAGAGAGAAAATATAGATAGGTGGTCACTTATATCTTACGACAGTAACCTTGAAATACATTTTCTGCTTGAAACATTTGTGACACTTACATCAAGCAGCGACAAAACTTTTCCGATTATAGGCCTTGTTATTGTGTTTGCGCTTGTGTATGAATTCAAAACCGACTGGAGTTGTTTAGAGCTGGAAGAATCGCCTATTATGTTAATGCTGACGTCACCAATAATTAAAAAAGGCATGCACATTGTGTGTAGCTTTTGTAAAAGTGTATCAATATAGTCAAGGAATTTTCACTTTTTTTTGCTCAGTGATAACGGACCACCAAGCGCTATGTTGGCCTTCATCGCTAAAGGGTCCTACTGGCTGGCTTCAACGCTGGGCTCTGTGACTGCAAGAGTATACCTACACAGTGACGTACTAGTCGGGACGCCTACATCAGGACGCAGACTGCCTGTCCTGCTACCCGGTCGATAAACCGAGCACCATCCCTGACACCGACACGAATAGTTTAATTTTTTTTGTTTCACAAATGACCCGCATCGGTAGTGAGCAATGCCGTGATGCGTCCTTACGTACTATCGTCGAGCGCCTAGAATCACCATCTTCTGATCATTCCCATCACTCATTCATCCTTCGCGATGGTGTATCATACTGTTGAAATTTCGAGACAGATGGACCGGCCCTGCTACTTGTCATTACGATACACCTTTGCTCGGTAGTTCTACACGAACTTCATGATCTTCCAAGTGCCGGTCACCTTGTTGTGTCACGCGCTTATGGCTGGATGCACCGACGCTTCTTTTGGACAGGCTTTGCATGCTCAGTTAAAACATGCGGAGGCGTCCAGACACTTTCCGCTGGACGCCTCCAACCACTTGACATTCTGTCAGAGCCGTTATTCCGTATTGTTATAGACCTACTTGGCCCTTTCCTGTTGTCCTCTAGCAACAGGTGGATAGCTGTGGCCACAGACTACGCCACATTTTACGCCGTGACATGAGCTCTTCCAACAAGCTGCGCCACATATGTCGCCGACTTCCTCCTGCATAATGAGACCTCGTCACATGGAGCTCCATGCCAGCTGCTTACAGACTGTGTCTGCACCTTTCTATTGAAGGTCATAGCGAACACCGTGCAGCCATGTGAAACAAGGCACAGGCTCATTATATCGTACTATCTGCAGCAACTGGACTCACGGAGTGTCTCAATCGAACAGTTACCAACATGCTTGTGAAGTTCCTTCAAACCACTGTGATCGGGGCCTTACTTTAGCGTACGTGATATCTGCATGAAATTCTTCATGCAATGTGGTTGAAGTTGTTATTTCCTTTGTCAAAAAGGAGGGGATGGGACTAAAAGCCGCCCAAGCGGCTTGACAAGGGTCCCGACTCCCTGATACTGCTGGTTACTCTCTGCTGATGACAGTGGTGGTTGCTCTCTATCTTTTCTATTGTTTGGCCAAGAACCTACATTAGCCCTAAATACAGTCATTCCGTCTTTCGCAGTACTGACCAGTGATTATACCCTTCATGCTATTTTTCGGGTGGTCCATGCACGCGAAACCTCCCATACTCGTCATCTGACCTCTCAGGAGAACCAATAGTGTTTGTATGATTGACACCGAGATGTGCACTTATCGCCCGGTTCATTGGTCCTGTTATGGTCTCCATGCTGTCAAGTCAGCTTAACAGAAAAACTGCTTTCTTGCTGCACAAGTTCATACCAGGTCCTTCGTGCAGTTACTGCTGTGATATATAAAATTGTTTCTACTGCCTCGTCACCTTCGTAGCCACCGATATCGTACATGTGGAATGCTCGAAGCCCTACCACTCTTCCGGTGATGTTGACATTTAGGTGCACTTCTGTGGCCAGGGATTATGGTACAAGCATACTGATATTCTCCGGGACCGTGCACGTGCGCACCCGACAAAGAGGATGAAGAGCTGTCTCCGATCGGTCGCTGATCAACCGGTCGTGCCGCAACTGCTGGTTTAGAATATACTTTATTTATTGCCACATCGATCTGGCGTTCCTTCTCTCACATGATAATATTAACCCCTCATGTGTCCTGCTCAAACTGTCCTTAAACTGCTTTGGACGAGCTCTACATGTCATAGTGCAATAGGTACTAATTTTACAACCTAGATTGCGTGTTATCCGCTAGTTGGCAGCACTTGCTCACAATTTAGTTTTCTCCTGTGTTTGAACGGAGACCTATGTTTAGCTGGCCCATCAACAGAAAAAGGAGCTTTTCGTTTTCGTTATATTCTTCGAGTGATGATGTTTGTTTTGTGTCGGAAAACAGCGATGACAGTGAATTGAGCAGCTTCTCCGGGGATGATGAAGACAACTCAGAAACGAACATCGCGAGTGCTTGCCAGTGAAGCGGCATTGCGTTACTATTCCCTGTTTTGAAATTTTCTACTCGGTCCCAAACCTTCCCGAGTGAAATAGCACGAGGGTGCTTAGCTTGCACAAATGAAGAAAAATGTAGCATCTGCAACTCTTTTTTATAAGGCTTTTATTTTTATTAATAGCAGCAGGTAGCTGGCTTCTTATTTATTATTCGAAATAAAGTTTATTGTGTTAACTTGACTAAATATGTGATATAAATGTTTTTTTTTTTCAACATTATCTAGCTGTTTTTAGTACAATCAAATTCTAAATCAGCAATAAAAAAATGGCAGATGCCCCGTACAGTGGAAATCAATGACATGCGAAGCACGAATTAGGCAGGTTGATATGTTACTTTAAAATCAGTACAACGTTATGAGGTGGTCGTAAATTATGTCGTACATGACTTCCATGTTTTCACTATCATGTTTGGACATGTCATTTACTTTTGTTGTCTATTCATGTCACGTGATACCAAATGTGGTACATGTGGAGCTAGCAAAATAGCTGCGAGCATGCTATAAGCGTAGCATTGCATGACACACATGCCACGATCGTCATGTTTGGACGTGTTTAATTTCGCCGTCCATTCATGCCATGTAACACCAAATTTGGTAGATGTGAAGCTAGTGAAACGGCCGCTAGCGCATCAAGAGCATGGTATGTTGTCCTTTTGTTACTTGACACGCATCTCACGATTATGATTTTGCACCAGTCACATACCTTCATCATTCATTCACGCCACATAATGCTAAATTTGGCATATGTGAAGTTGGCAAAAGGACTGTGAGCGCACTATGAGCGTGGTGTGTAGTCATGACTTACGTGACATGCATGTCTTGATTTCTACGCAAGGGTCTGTCACTTAGGCTCGTGTTATTGCTGTGTCAAACCATACCAGTTTTGCAATATGTTATGTGAACAAAACCACCCTAACAAGACCATGAAATGTAAATCGGGACATTTATCACATGTCTTGATGTTTATGTTATGACTGGTCACTTATGCTTGTCATACAGTCATGTTATGCTATACCAATTTTGGTATAGATATCATTAAAAACGGCCAGGAGGGCTAAAAGTTGTAGGTGGCTAGATAGAATGATAGATATGCTGAAAGTCGCTGAAGTTCGCTAAGAAATGCTTCGCATTTAAATGGCTCTTTTGGTTGGGAAATGTTAAAAATATGGAGCACTAGAGGAGTTAAGGAGCTTTAGATTAGCATATGAAAAGATAGCGTTTGTTGTGGTTGCCCGCTATTTCCATCACTATATGTGGCTTGCAAAAGAAGAATGTACGACACATGTGCAGTGGCATGAAACACTGACTCAAAGCTTTGTGTAAGCTATCCTAAAAATGCCTATTAAAAAAAATTTCTGCGACACGCGCCTGCCTTGCCTGAAGCACCGCATTTCCTCGCTTACACTCGCACTGAGAAAAATTTTGGCCGGACTAGAGGGTAGACACGCCCATTGTTTATTTCTAGTATGGCCATGGTGTTCAATAATTGAACATGCGGCAGTCCTGCGTCCAATCAGCGGCATTCTTCTGGCTGTCGGACCAATTCCTGTGATTTCTCTTTCACAGTTAACTTCTGCTACCATGAAGGTTTGCTTCATCATTGATTATGTGCGTCAGTTATCAGGGCGGAGAACATTGGTGCTTTTACTCTGAAAATTGCTCCAGCTGCCAAACACCGACAGACAGTGGGCAAGCTTATACAAGTGTACAATAAACAGTGAACTGCTTCTCTAAAGACACGTTTTGCTTTCATGCTATATTGATTCCTGTGACGAAGGGATCAATCATGTTTTTTGTAATTATGCAGGCTGTCCAGCTATCCAATGTGGGCCTGGTGTTGTCTGAGCCACTGCAGGGCTGCGCCAGCCTCGTCAATCGTCTTGAGCTTCGTCACAATGTGGTGCTCGTCGAACGCGGGTCTGTCCAACATTTGCTTTGCTCTCTATAATTGTGTCATCACATGGTTTTGGTGGTAAAGAATATAAAACACAGCTGGCAAAGATGAAATGCTTTATTGGGCGGACCCAGTTTAAGAAGGAGCACTCCAGATGCTGCGAAAGCGGCAAGCACAGGTGTCCGTCATTGATAATTTGATCAGCAGTGAAATGCGTCAGTTTTTGTAGATGTGTCACAGCTCATTCCAGCATAATGTACTGATGCTGGCATGCAATCTGGAAGGTACTCGAACATGCTTGTTAGGTGTACAATGTTTTTAGAACAGTCGATGTCGTTCAGAAAACCGCACGCAAGTTCAAGCGCAGCCTGCGCTGTGCAATAAAGCGCTTCCCAAGAAAGGGAAAAGGGCATTCTGCGCGAATTAAAAAAAAGTAAGCATGCAGGTTTAGAATTGTTTTTTATTTTAAATAGTAACTGGAACTTTATTCCATGCTCAGTGCCTTGACATATCTGGACCATTGATACTGTTTTTGATGACTCCAATCAGATTGCTTGGGTGTAGTTGAGCACACTTTGGAATGTATACGATTACCATAGGTAATGTTAGGATGACGCGTTCACAAAGAAATAGCCACCTGAGATGCAAGCTCTAATGTCCAAGCGTCGCAAGGCTGCCGCTTTTATGGTGCACAGTGTCGTAGCCAGACTGCGGAAGCCGAAAACCACAGCAGATCCAAACGTTGCTGTTGATTTATATCGTCTCTTAGCCAGTGGAATGCTATGTGGGGGTGGAAATGCTCATGGGTGCCGGCCAAGGTCAAAAATGTTCACTGACATTTCAGCTGTCACATTGGAACTTTGTTCACAATCTGTTTTGTTCATTATATCTTCAGCTCCTGTGTGGGAACCGAAACGTCTGTAAAGATATGTCATCTTGGTTGATGTCTGTGAATGTTTCACCGATCTGAACTATATAAGATTTTGTGTAATCCTCAACTGGATGCTGCTGTGGACGGCTTGAAGGCTTCACGCTTCTATTTTAAAGTGTCCTTGTTGCACACGAGATTTGACTCAGCTGCTGCTCTTCATACCTGCTTTCTGCAGGATGTGCAGAAAACTGGTGTTTTTTCAAGTTCATGTTCATGAGCGGGTAGCAAATATCGTATTTAATAAGAGGTGCACATTGAGAGGGTGCTGCAGGCTTACGTGTCCACATCCAGCTATGACAACCAGGTAGTAGAAAGCTTCTATCGGGATGTGAAGTCAGCAATGAATAATGTTTATCATATTCTGGCTGACTCAAATACTAATATAGGCAAGAAGCATGCTGGAGGCCAGGCAGTGGGTAGCACTGGTTGTAGACATAGCAGAGGAGACTTATGCATAATTTACAGATCTTGAATACTTTCTAGAACTGGAGGACCAGAAGTGGGAGTGGAGGAGCCCAAATGAGACGGGGAAAAAAAATGAACTTGATACTCTGCGTACCCACTGGCACTGTGTAGGATGTGGAAGTGCTTGGCAAGGTGTGATGTATTGACTAGAGCACTGCACGGGTCGATTTTTCCGGCACGAGCCCGGCCCGGTGTTTTTAAATACGGCCCGTACCCGGCCCGGACCCGAAAGGCTTGAGCTCAGCGTGGCCCGGCCCGTTTCAGCCCATTATGCCTTGAACATAAACAAGTCACTGCCCACTCTTCGATCATTGTGAAGATACCTTCCTCACTGAAGATATTTTCTAGTGAGTGTTTTGGAACTTCTTCCAGTGTCGTGATGTTTCACTGGCATACTCTGTGTACTTTCGGTTAATTACGCACATAAAACTTTTGAGAAATAATTGCAGGGTAATATACAAAATATAATTGTAGTCATAGCTGGCTGTCTTATGTATGCAGTGCAAACCACACAATGTTGTTTTTGCACTTCAAAAAACAATACAATATATACTGCCCCCATGAAGTGAAAAAAATGTCAGACATTTATATTGTGAGTCTACATAAACTGCACGCAAGCCAGGGCTCTTGAGTAAAAGTAACAAGTCTCCGGCAAAATTCATTAAGTATGCCACGCAATAAAAACACGCTCTAGCTACTTCTGGGAGGAATATACCAGGCTGGACAGCGTTACATAAATTCAAGCTATCGCGTTGGCTTCTCGGCTGTCTCCGACGTACACTGCATTTTCGAGCTCAGAACAAAAAGGTTTTTTTCTCCCCACCCTTCTTCCCCCGAGTCGCCGCCACCACAGCTCCATATTCTGTCAAAGTGACCCACATCCATTAGCAAGCGAGCCACCATCCTCGTTCCCTGAAAATGCTTGTTTTTTCGCCTTCTCATGACGGCCTTCGATCTTTCAAATTGTTATGTCTTTGTGGGAAAACCTCCGTAGAACCTTTATTGGCGCTCAGCGCAGTGCCGTCTGCAACATGGCGTGCATTTGAACACTCCAAGAACAAACGAGCCTCTGCCCTGTTACTGTTCTTTGTCTCGTCAGTCTGCGTCACGGGCAAGTTTTTACATCGTCCCACTGCGACAATTTGACTAATCTTACCGTAATATTTTCTAAAGACAGCCTCTAAAGTCCGTGTCATTCTTTCACAAATCCTCCCCGCAACAAATGATGCTACAATTTTCACCTTACTTGCACGAGTTTAAGCGAAGTCCTATAATAATGTGCTTCAAAAGCCTCAACTTCAGTTGATGACTATCTGTCTTGAGCGTTACTTCCTTATTGGAATATGAAACTCTGCAAGATAAAAGTACGGAAAGCCTTCAGAGATGCGTTAGCCTCAATCATACTTCAAATGTGTGCTCTGTTTTAACTGGCACACGTTTAACGACTTTCACAGAAGTCTCCTGACGTAGCCACAGTCATCGACACTGCTGACCTGAAGCAGCTTCGATCAGGACACAATGTTGTTTGGAAAGGTGTTGTAGTTGTTGATGAACCATTGAGTCTAAATCGCGTGCATGCATCGAAATTACAGCGCACTTGTTTAGCACGTGGGTGTCATCTCAGTGACTAAAACTGTTCACATAGCCCAGCGAGAGTGTTATGAAGGCCACCATGACGACGGCATCGATGCATGTCACTCGCATTGAGGTGCGCGTAACGCTGATATTGCGGCAGCCATTTAAGAGGGAGGGGGGGGGGGGGGCAGTTGTTGTCTTCTGGAGTTTTTGCGCTATTGAAGGGAGAGCTGATGCCAAGAGTACCTGTCTTCGACTGTTGGACATTGAAAGGTACTCTTCTGCTCCATTAAAAGAGGCGTCACACGCAGCTGGGGTTCTTGTCGTACCTATTTCGCCAATTACTTCTGGCAGTTTATTAGTGGCAATCTTTTCTGCATGTCAGTTTTTCTTGTGTGACTTCATAATTTTTACACAAGGTTGAACTGGTACTTTCGTCAAAGAATTGGCAACACTGTCATGATCCTTTGCTGATGTCCTTGGTAGCACAACTTTACCGCGACCATTTAGGAAATTTATGGCTTTGTTGAACACTCTTATGTTGATGTCTTACTTTGGGAATGTCTTTTCTGCAATATACTATTGGTATCGAGCTCCAAAACTGTTGTGAGGGAATGCCTTTTCTGCAATATACTACTGGTATCGAGCTCCAAAACCGTTGTGACGAGTCAGAGAAGTTCTCCTCCTCATAGATAGACCTCTGTTCGCAGGACGCAGATACAATCGTCCGAATACTGTCCACTTTCCTCCTCGACATATATATGGTCAATGGAGAGTCCAGTTCATTTTAACAGAGCGGTAACAGTGATTACCGCTCTGTTATCTGACGCCCAATCGACTTCTTTGTCACTTGGCATTACTTTCCGCAATCGGTCCAACCCAATCAGAAAACTTGCTGCGGGTTGGCAGGTGACGCTCAAGAGAACAACTGAATCCACTAATGGTTTAACTTCTGCAATGATGACTTCTTGAAGTTAATTCGTCTTTGAAGATTCACTGATGTCGCGGCAGAGGAAAGGAACAACGGCTGCTTCTACGTATCTGCACTAAATACTGTGGTAATTGCAGAAATTAAAACAACTGACTTTTAACCAGCAGAAATTGTTAGTCGAGTCAAATTGGTGAATAAAAGTTTTTTCTACGAATAGTCTATAGCCACTTTGAAACTTTTGAAAGGCGGCCTCTGGCAATCATGGCGGAGCAATGAAATCTGGCTACATTTGCTCACGAAATCAAAACTGTCGCACAAAACAGCGTATCTACCATTCACTTTGACAATGTAATAATTTAGAAGGTAATTGTTTTGAACTGTGCAAATGTTCAGTTGTTTTAATTTTTTATTTACTGCTGTAATTAATGTTTGTACCCATCTGAAGATGCCTTCGGTCAAACTAAAGGCAACACCGCATGTAGCATGCAGATGGCTGCTTTTTGTAATTTTTAAATGATATTGGACACATTTCTTGAAACACGCTGTATATGAGACCTGGGCCTAATACGGATCTGACTCTGGCCCAGGCCCGACCCAACAATGCCTTACCCAGCCCGGGGTTTGTGCAGTGCTCTTTTAGTGACCATAAGATGGCAAGGTCCAGCAAGTAACGGAAGAAACTGGTATGCAGTGTGCCAGTTAACGAGTTCTTTCCCTCTGCTGAGAAGGAAAGAACTACATGAATGCAGGATCTCACTCCAGAATGATACTTGGCTCCAACTGAGGAAGTCGACCTTAGTATGGGCACAAGGATCAGACGAATATTATTGCACAGTGTGCAAGTAAAGCCTATGGTTGGGTTGTTCGACAGGACACTGTACATCTCTTCGGAGGCAAAAAAAATCTCATCAAAATATCTCAAGTATGAAAACCTCAAACCGGGGAAATAAAGTAGGACTGGCAGAGGACAGACAGAAATGAACAAGCTGTAAAAAAGACACGAAGCCTAAAAGCAGCAAAGAGAGAAAACCATACGTGTAGAGGCAAGAAAGGCAATGTCACCACCAAGATAACTAAAGACAGGCTCAGCTAGAATAAAAATTGGTGTCTCACACTCCATT